GTGATACTTTTTCTTTTAGAAATTTGTGTAGATGCATAATCCTTTTAATTTTTATCGCTTTTGTAAGTTGTTCAATTTAGATAAGGTGTCAAAAGTAAGGTTACATCTGGTCGTTTACGATAAGAAGAATTTTTATCAGGTGAAATTTAATTAACGCACGTGTTTTATCGCTGTATAATAACACAGGGCTTTATAAATACAAACAAAATTTAAAAATCAGATACTCAAGTGTAAAAATGCATATAGGGAAATACATTGCATTATGTACCAAGAGGTGTCGTTACTGAAATTGCTTATCGTGCGGTACCAAGGTTCAGGCACTTCCTGAGCTGAGGAAAAATGTGCATTGGTTATTGAAGGGGGAATGGGGAGAAGTCGGGTCGCGAAAAAGAACTTTTAAAAAGAATTTTTGTGTGAGTAGTTGTGAAGCAAGGGTAAGTAACCGTTTTGATTAGCTTCAGCTTGTATTTTAACACTTTTAAATTGTCCATAAACATTCCCCTGCGTTTCACTCCGACCACATTTTTCCATTCTTTATCGTTATTGTAATAGGTCATGTAACTACACTTTGTCATTATTTTAAATAGCGCCTAGGTATTCCCGGGCATTTATTGATGATTCCCAACTAATCACCCCTTTGTTACAGCTGTTAAGAGATGCAGGTGTTTCGAAAAATTGCGCGTTTTATGAGGAATGACGCGCCCTGGCTAGCGTTTATTGAATTTAATTATGATTGGCGATCTATTTTAAAATTCAGGAAGGAGTTTTGGTGGTGGAAGTGGTTTTCGTTAAATATTGAAGACAACATACATTTCTTTATGCTAAATTTTTAGACAGTCAGCCTGTTTATGTGGTAAGGTAATTCGTCGGAATCGAAATAAAGTATGCGAAAAAAGATAAACAATCTTCATAAAGGATTTAAGTGTGTGTTTAATCGAACCCTAAGTGCGACTCAGATAGAGGGGGATTTTCTATTCGAGCCCAAGAATTATGTCAGATATTAATTTGTTTAGTTAATTACTTGGAATTTGATCGAAGCTACTGAGTCTCCCAAATTATTAATTTTAGAGTAAACATTGCGATTTTTCATTGTGACAATAACGCTAGAAGTAAAAGCGGCATTCAGAACCTTAACTAAACCTCTCGCTAGGAAAGATTGCCGGTCATAGAACACTTGATCCCGGTCTACAATCTATGTTTTTCTAAAGATGTGAGCAAATTCCGGTATAGTATCGTGTCAATGTTGAACAAAACGACTTTTCGTTCAACATTGGCACGATCCTATTCCGGAAGTCGCTCGCATCTTAAGAAAAACAAAGATTGTAAATTGACGCAAGGTGTGCTGTGACCGGCAATCTTTCCTGGCGAGAGTTATACTTACATTATTGTTATAAGCCATAATCCATAATATTCAGGCGCACTTAGCACTGACACAAAAACACTCGCTACTTGTCGAAAGGCTTCACTAAGCAACAACTGCTTGGTTGACTCAACACTCGTACTAACTTCTTTTGAATACGGACAACCCGTTTTATTAAGATTGCTAAACTTCTTATGCCCACATTATTTCGATACCGACGAATTACGTTATCACATAACCACATCACATCACATAATAATAATTTGAAGTAATTTTGATATTCCTGAAGAAATCGACCTATGAGAAGTACTTGCATGAAACAAAATTTTGTACTGTATTTATGCCTAAAAGCAAATCCCAAACAAAGGATTTGTGTTATTTTGTTCCATTGATTGGGAATTTTGTATTTAGTTTCGATAATGCCATTCCTTTGGTTGGATTAACATTTTTTTTAGCATTCCTAGGTATGTATACAGTGATATTTATTAAAAAGTAGACATAGGGATTTACGTGATTAAATCGGACGCCTAATTTTATGCAAGCAAAATAACTTCTTCAAACAAATAAAGATCTGGCTGTGATATTTATTAATCTGAATATTGTTGCTGTGGCTTCACAGAAAATAAATCTCTTACGCTCCTAACACTGTTACCCTTTTCTTCAGTTGAATACATCGGACACGAACGAAAATAAAAATACGGAAATTAATTAATATGACCGCCAAATCCTTATTTTGTTTAATAAGATATTTTAGTTGCATAAAATTAGGCGCCCTTCAAGAGATTTTGTCAATTTAAAGTACACAGAGAAAAACAATACACGTATACGTAACGCCATGTAAACGTTATTTCGTTAAAAATAATGACGAGCCACCCTGTATATGAGAAATATTTCAATTTATTAACAGTGACTCTGTTTTTAGCAGATTTTTTAAGAATTAAAAAAAATTTGGTATTGTTTGCGTTTTGTCCGCCCGTCCGTCCGGATCCACTTCTGCCGTTTCGAAATACTTCTAGGGGAATGGTGCTAGAGTCCTTTTTTGCAGTAGGTAGCCTATACCTTGAAGGTCTGCCAGACGGCCATCAAATTTCGCTGTCTAAAAGGGGGCCCCCCCACCACGAATAATTTGCTGAGATGCTGTTTTTGAAAGTAAAACGTGCCTAACTTTTAAATACGACAACCAATTGGTCTCAGATTTTGCATACGCACAACTTTAGAAAATTGGGGGGGGGGGGGTGATTGAATTCCTCCGTATATAAATGATTTCATGATAATGATTGCAGATAGTCATCAAATGTGTATAGGTACACTGGGTAGTAGTGTTTGACTAGGAGGTATTCTATAACCCCCCTCCCGCCCCGTCCGGAGTTGCAACCCTGCCTTAAAACTTCATCCCTAAGGACTCCCATTACTCTTAAAAAACCAATTTAATTTTCCATTCTGGACAAATATTTCATACGTTCAAAGAACTCTTCTGAGTAAGGGCACTTCTCGTGTTGGTTAAAAATATAGAACCGGTGGGTCTGGGGGGAATGAAATCCCCCCCCCCCCCAGAATACAAATGATTTCATGATGATGACTGCAGAGAGAGTCGTCAAATGTGTAAATATTGGGTAACATGGTGTTTGACTAGGAGGTATTGTATAATATTGTATAATCCCCCCCCCCCCCGGAGTTACCACCTTGACTTAAAACTTCATCCCTACGAACCCCCATTACTCTTAAAAACAATTTAATTTTCCATTCTGGACAAATATGCCATACGTTCGAAGACCCTTTCATGAAGTGTATAGGGTGAGTTGTAGTAAAGAGCACTTCTCATGTTGATGGAAAATATAGAACTGGGGGGTCTGGAATGCCACCCAGTATATGATTGGGGGGGGGGGGTAACACATGTTTTATCCTTCATGGTACTTACTCTAACTAAAGGTCTCGACGAAAGGAACCGTTTTCTACCAACTACTGCCCTCCTTTCTGTCCTCTTATGAAAGCACGGGGTGGAGGGAGAGAGGGGAGAGTGGAACTAGTTTCATCCTTCATGGTACTCTAATGAAAGGAATGCACCGTAGCCCTCCTCCTCGATCTCTTATCGTGATCCCTTATACTTCAGGAACGAATTGTCGGAAGAGGGTACTCACAAAGAGCAATTGAGACGTCTGCAAGAAATATATCCATTGGTGATGTCAAAACAAAAGCAATGTTAAAAAATGCGCTTTATCTGCACAAGAGTTGCGCACAATTTATACTTGTTTACGAATAAAGGCGGAGTTGGTTCATTTTACTTGAATTTCTGCCTCAATGTTATTTTTCCTTTTCGTTTTGCTTGCAATTGGATAATTTTTTTTATTGAATCGTATGTGTATGATTCGATTTAGATAAGACGCATTAAGTAAGAAATATCTGGTCGAGTTTGGGTATTTTTATAAAAGTCTTTGCAAATGTGAATTAATTAACGCATATGTTTTAGACCTGAGAGCAGGTAGGCAACGATGTGCGCATTATTTTTAGCGGAAGTGGGGACGCGCGATGCGTTCTTTCGCAGCCGGCGTTTTTGATTGGCGCTTTATTTATAAAAACCGGAAGATGATTATTCTTTGATGGAGGTGGTTTTCCATTAAACACACGAGACAAGGTAAAAAGGGGTGGCTGTCGTTAGTTTCGCGATGATAAGAAGAGCGTGTAAATTTGTTTTTGTCGAACGCCTGCTTGCGGGGTAATTTCTAAGATTTTCTTTGTTTCAGGAATTGTGGTTTTAATTTTCATTTAATGTGTTTCGAAATGACTTTGTCATTGTCAATCAATTAATTGTGTTTATTCGAACCCATTGTGCGACCCGGATAATGTTCATGTCAATTTTCTTTTCGTATGCAAAATGCAAATTCTTTGGAATTTTTAGAAGTTGATCGAGGCCAATGAGTTTCCCAAATCATTAATTGAAATCAATATTGGCAGATGTCGAACGTGTACGAGGAGAAATTATAAAAATTGTAAGTTTAAATATTGATCTGTTTTGAGCTAGCATTTTTTCCGAATGCAATATCGCGGAAGAAGTTTCTTTAGCAGCGGAAACGATGAAGATCCAAAATAGGAGCCGGCCTACCCATTGAAAAGGAAAGGACGTGAACTTTTGCCAACTGCCATTACAACAACCTGGCGTAGTAAAACTAATCTTTACCTTAAACGGGAATTAAATTACTTGCGGTCTTCAATCAAGTTTATTCACTCGATCTGTGGTAGATACAATTTACATTCCTCCGTAAGAGAAAAATCGAGCGTGTCGACGATGCCTGATGTATAAACTTTGCGTGATTGTATAATCGAAACGTCCAAATCCCAATCATCTAGCGCTGTTTAGGGAAGTTGGCCGTTAACGAATGAAAAATGCAAATTCACGTTTATAAATAAACGTTCCATTGGCGTTGGGTAATTGTCAGGAATGAATGGATACAGAAATCCAATCAACTCGCCTATTTTCCCATGTGAATGTATCTTTATACACGCAGACAATCCTCGTCTAGAGTTAAAACATTAACGAAGTTACTAGACCGATAAGTCACCTCATGCCTACGATATGTTTCCATTGTGTTGAAATTGTAACACAATTTGCAGGGGCGGTAAGGATAATCAAAAATCGACTTACCGCTTCAGCGTCTGATGCTTAGTGCCGTTCACCGCGATTTTCGGTTTCGATTTATCACTAGAACTTGTCATAGAGCTATGGCTGGCCGTAGCCGTCGTGACGTCACTAATGAAGCTACTCATGCTCGTGTCTTTACTAATCGGCGTCGAAGTGGTAGTCCGTCCATTCGCCATGTGCTCGGAACCTAAGGTTAATTGCATGCCGCCCTTAATGGGCACCGGTGGAGGCTTTTCGTCCATCGGCAGCATGTAGGACAGCATTTTTCTTTCGTTTCGTTTGGCCGGCACAACACACAACTATTATATTAAGACATATCACATAAACACATGGACGATAACAATTTCCTCGGTATCACATTGTTTCGACGGCGAATCTTCGCTTTCCTTCACATTGTCTTCATTGGTGAAGATTCCTGAAACAAATCCGAATATTACATAATTTGTAACATTTTTAACTTAAATTAAAGATCTTAGTATTATTACTTTATGGCGATTAACCGGATATTGTATAATTCTCTACGTAATTTTGGATCGAGTTTGAACACCACTGGAATTTTGGAGACTACGACTTTTCTATTCGTTTTATATAGAGTTTAAACCAATTTAATTCTCTACTCTCATTAATCGGAGGTATGTTAAACTTTGTGTTTTTGAAGGCTTTGATTTTAGGGTTCCAGTTTTGGGTTTCAAATTCTAGTTTTATTTTCAGGTTATAATTTCACATCCACGTTTACGTAAGAGATCGAGTTTTAATTATCATTGGTAGGGTGACATTCAATAAATAAGCAATAAGAAACCTGAATATTAACAAGACTTTAAAATCGGAATGAGAACCCTTTCGTCGTTAGGTTGCTTTTTTTCATCGTTTTCAACGTTGTCGCATTAAAAAAAACGGAATGGATATTTAACTTGTAAAGAAAGCAGTCAGGGGATAGTCAAGATTACTCATTCGTAAAGTTATAGTAAAATGTACACTCGTAATGAAGTTCGAATCTGACAGTCAGTTCCATTGTAGAGTGAACTTGACATGTGCAGTGCAGTACAGCTACAAAGATAATGAAGTTCGAATTTCACAAAATCATTCCCCTGGTCATTCCTTTCATTAATTAATTAATTAATTGAAGTTCATCACTTGCAACTAGCTCTTTATGATTCAGGCACTTGTACAAATGTAGTCGATGGGGGCGTGGTACAGAGATTGACTTGCCATTGTGCGCTTTATTACGATTAATTATGCCAATTATTTGTAATTCGAATTAAGTTTGCTCAAATATGCAAGCGGCTAACGTAAATTATATTACATTTTCAAAGGATTAATTATTTCCTTTTGCTAGCTTAATTTTATCACTTCATGAATATAAATGGGAGCGATTCAAAGATATTTGTACCGATTTAGAATAGCTGTAAAAAGTTTGCTGCAGGCTTAAATTTTGGTTATGTAAGACTGCAGCTGTCAATGGAGTCATTGAGTCTGAAACCGTAGGCCATTTCAACTTCTGATACCAGTTCGCGTTTCCGTGGCGAATCGGTCCCGAGTACCGCCCGCTCGTAGTAGACCGAAAATTAATGGCTGCGTCAACAAAGTAAGAATAACCTCATTCCTTAACGTCGCGCTTGCCGAGAAACATAAAATGGCAGACAAAGCCAATAAAGATCTGGCCCAAAAGTCGGTGAATTTGTTGCGAGCGGTTCGGGCCATCAACGTTACCAGTTCCATCTAAATCAGAGTAGAACTTGAAGAAAGTGATACCCTGGGGGCCCTGTGGGGGATGTTTATTTACCCGTGTAGGAGCAGAAAGAATAGCCCTATCGCAGAGGACGTTTCGTGTCGTAAGAGGCGACTAAACAACAGCCCTACAGCCGCGACCTCACCTATATATTGTGTTATCGACTGGAAGCGGACTTGTTACTAATTACGCAATTCTAATTTAAAACTAGGATCGAAACTGACAAGGTCGCCGCAGTAAGATAGATAATCAAGCTTCTCGCTGGACTCGGGAATTCAAGTAACAATAGACTACCGAATTTGGAAATTTCGGTGAGCATAAGTATCCGTAGCTAATTAGATGTGTTGCAACAAACCTCGGCTGATTACGTTGTGTTTGGTGTCAAATGAAGCGAGCTTAATTGGCATGAATTTTAAGATTGGTTCCTCATTTTTATTATAACAAGGGACCATGTAAATAGTTACAGTGACTTTAATTTTTGCACGTTCATCCTGAGTACGTCATACCGCCTGGGAAAACCACCGGGCCCTTTCACAAATTTCCGATTTGTATAAAAGATGAAAACGTTAATTTTTTTGGCGTCATTGTGTGGAATTTTCGCATTGTATACCGTACCGTTTAATTTCAAGGCAAGCGTTTGATACGTTTCTTTCCGTTAATTATAAAGGGGCTTTAGAGGTTGCTTTCCTGCATCTTGTTTTCCAGTAGATACCGTTAATGATTTGTGCTACCGTTCCCGATTAGGGATTTATAGACAATAGTTGTCTTTCACATAGTAGTATCAGGGGGGCGAGACCGTTATAGTAACAAGAATACATGGGTGTAGGCGAAAATTTAATTGCATTTTGGTAGTATAAGGTCTGCAGTTGCATTTATTTGGGATTACGCAATTTTCCAAATAGGGTATTACGAGATAAAAACGGTGGTCTCCTTATTTGGCAATATTTCCTACATTTTTTCGATTTTTTATTTGGGCGAATGGAGCCAAGCCAAAGATTGTCAAGCTTGATACGCAGCGGTCTTGCCCAGATTTGTATACGTCCATTTAGCTTTCTAGGGAGCAGATTGGCCAGAAAAAAATTAGCTCTATTGGTGGAGAAGGTTGTACGTCCCAGAATGGGCGTGAACAAAAATTTTAAGTAAGTGGGAGTTAGTCGTCGCTGGTAAACCGAGGGGCAATACGGGCCAAGCCACGAGAGAATTCGCGTAGGGCAGTTAAAAATGCTTAAACCACTAAAGGAGCCGTTTGAACGTAAAGAGAAAAAGATTCTGAGCATACTTCCCGTCCAGGGTCGTTAGAGCGGTTGTATCGTACCGCAAGAAGTTAAGTCAATCATCCCATAAATTACCAGGGCTGGTTTTCAGTGGTAAAAGAATGTACGTGAATATTTGTGCTCGAGATTTTTACGTTGAGCCGCGTGTGTCGTTTTGACACACTTTGTTTCTATTGGATATTTCTTAATCATTTTTGATAGTGAACTAATGATAATGTTTGTATAAATCCACCATAACAGATTTATTTTTTAACCGTAAAAATACTTCCAGTCGAACTAAACGTAAAGAAAGTTAGTGTTAATTGAGTAATTTCAGAAATAAATTGCAATAATTTACGAGACCTTTGAATCGCGCGAGTTGGTGCAGTTCATTAAAAATGGCGATTTAAAATTAGCTTCCTGAGCATATGCAAAGTTGGTCGATATAAAAGATTTTTGGCAAGAAAATGAAAACAACTTGTTTTAGTTATACGATTCACAAATTGGCTTCGGGTGCATTTTCTGTCAACAACTTTCCTAACTTATTTTCGTTTTTATTTATACGTTCGCACTGATTCAGCACTTTTTTTTCTTACAAATCACGATTGGAGAAAACCGATATAGGAATCGCATTAACATTAGACGACTCCTAATAAAGGCCGATTAAAATCTCCGTCCGATTTAATTACCTAGGTGCGAACGTATATGGCAAACCGAAGCCTCAGCTTACTAAATCATCCGAAACCAAAGCCTATAACAATTAATATTAATCAGAAGTGAAAGCCTGTTTTTTAATCGATCATAATATCCGTTTGTATGTCTGCATGTCTTGTCGGGACTTTCAAGACGATATTTCGAAAATGAATAAGTAATGGTTTTTGGATCCTGCTGTAACGGGAGCCCGTTAACGCATTAAAAAAAAACAACAGTGTTACACATTGTAATAGTAATTTGGTAGATTTTTTTTGTCATGTTCCTTAAATACGGTCCTGACTGAGTTTATTAGTGCAAAAGGTTTGCGTTAAAGTAGTGAGAAATTGATTGCTCAGAGAGGCAATACGCGTCGGCCCGTCAGGGCAGTTAAGTCAGACACCTGTCAATTTCCGCAGGGTGGATTATACATTTTATACAACGTAATTTAAAATGACCCTAAAATTTGAACTACGATTCAAACCTGCCATTCATTATACGAGGTCTAGGAATTTGCGTTGATTTTTCTTTTTAAGCGTTGGATCAATCTATGGGATCAATTCGAGTTTGAACGACCAAGGGATACTGCAATTATTATTGCTGTTACCATTTTCTTGTATTCAAAAAAGTAATAAACCGATGCTTTTAAGGGTGTTTCGATTTTAAATTTTTTTTTATATTGAGCTAGCAGTCGCAACAATGTAACATTTTTAAATATCATTTGAAAGTAAAATCAGAATTTCAGTCCTGCTTCGTAGATAAACAAAATTGCAGATTCCAATAGCAACCCATTCTATACAAAGAAATAAATAAAGTAAGTAAGTAAGTAAAGCTGTAATAGAACAGCTCCCCCCCTCCCCCGATTTGCCGCTCGTGGAGTCGAGGATTTCCCGACGACTAAATAGTGACCTTCTTTTGTGGTGCAAGGTCGCGACCTGGGATTGCGGATTGCCCCAACGAAAAAAGCCTCGGTGAAGGTGATTTACCGTTGACGTAACTAAGGAGTGACCTTGTTTGTGGTGCAAGGTCGCTCTGGTGAAATTCAAGTGACGCAACTTTGTGTTGGTAAATACCTTTCGAGTGTAATTTTATACAGTTCAAGCAGACAGAAAGATTCAAGATTATAAATCAAAATTGGATGTTGATTCCTGTACCACTTCTTTAGAAACTTATTTTGAGCTTTCATTTTAGGAAGATATTGGAAATACGTTTCAGAACTAAAAATGTTCGAATTTAATTTTATACCTCGAAAAAAAATAAAATTGTGATTTCTAATTAATTAATTAAAAAATCTTTCTGTCTGTCTACTAACCATTTAATGGCTATGTAGAACTTTTCTTTTATCATAGCCAACCTGATTTTCGAATACGTTTGGAAAATCAAGTTCCTAATCGCACTGTAAACGAAATACGTGTTAGTATTCGCTTGTCTAAAGGCGCGTTAACATTAACGTCATAACGAAGCACCTGTTTCCAGCCTTGAGGTTTCACACCCGAAGTAATGACCACGCCGTCAGAGCTGGGCAGTATTCGATTTTGTAAATACTTTTTAGTATTCAAATCCTTTAAAGTCTTCAAATACTTTGTAATTAAATACTTTTATGGAAGCAGTATTTGTATTTGTAACTCAAATATTTTCACAAATATTTAGTATTCGAATACTTCGCAAAGTATTCGGATACTTCGTAAAGTATTCGAATACTTCGCAAGGTATTTGAATACTTTGAGAAGTATTCGAATACTT